TACCACACACACACACACAACAACAACAACAACAACAACAACAACAACAACAACGTTCTCTCCACTGAGCTGGTTCCACCAGTGCCCGTGCGCCGAACAAAATAACAATACCAATAACAAAATATCCAGCCAGTAAACGAAAATACTGGGCTGAAACGGGAGAAAACAGTGACAAAAATTATAACAAGACATGACAAAAACTATTAAAAACTGGCAAAAATTGCGACAAAAGCATGACAAAAACAATTGAAAAAACATGAAAAAACCCAATTGACATCCCCCAACGCCACCCCCCCCAAAAAACAAAAAACAAAAAGATTTATTTAGGCTGGCTGTTTCTGTTACCTTGAGAAAAGTGACGTTTTCTCCACGGAGCTGGTCCCACCAGTGCCCGTGTGGCCGGACAGCACCATGCACGAACACACGCCTGAAGCCGGCAACGTGGAGGGCAGACATGATGCTGAGATAGTGCAGGAGTTTGAACTCGCTGGACTTGAAGATGTTGGTGGGGGGCAACCAGATGATGTGTGAGATGAGGGGGATGAGGGGAGTGCCCAGCGGGTCAGGGGTCACCTGTCTAGCTCGCCGCTCACCGTAAAACAACCAGCGAGAGAGTTCTGCTAGTGGTGTGGGTGACGTCACAATGTCTTTGGGGACTAGCGCCTCTGATAGGACGAGACAAGGTGAGAATGAGGAGGAGTTTTTGTTGCTGTTGAGTGGGCCGCTGTCACCACTAGGAGAAGAAGAAGAAGGCGAAGACGACGACGACGACGACGAAGACGGGAATATGCGGTTGTATTCAGTGACGTCATAACACTTTTTGTCGTGGTTCAGAATCGAGCTGAGCAGACCAGCCACCTGTTGACGCGGGAACCCTCGCCTGGCGATGACCAGACCTTGAGTGAAGTCATGTTCGAGCTCGTTGACCCGGAAGGAATGGAATACCTCGCTTTCTCTGTAACCTTCGACCTCTGGCATCTCGGTGACGATGGTCCTCTCACCGACGTAGACTCCGCCCTCCTCCGCTAGCGTCCCCAAGTAAAACCTCAAAGCCTCCACAGAGCCGCACTTGTGACGGACGACATGGTACTGCAGCACCAGATTAGGTACCGACTGCTTGAGCTCCTGAAACCACGTATGGTACCAATTGTCGTCCACAGACGGGAGCGTGTTGTAGTGGAAGATGAGCTTGACAGGTTTGAGAACGCGGACGATACTCAACACTCCGAGATAGTCCTCGAAACGGAAGATTTTCTCCCCACACCAGAAGTAGTGCGCATTAGGAGGCAGGCTGCCAGGATCTTTGACGACCCCCTCCACCTCTGGCCACGCCTCATGTCGGTATACCTCCCGGTACAGGATCAAGTTGTTCTCCGATCCGATGTCCTGTATTCTCCGGACAGAGTCCAGTAGGTATGTGGACATGTAAGCTGACAGGAGAATGCTGAAGAGGCAGACCAGCAGGAAGGTCTTGGCGTACCTCTCCCGGAAAGACGTTACTAAGGGTATGTACCTTCTGAAGGCAATTAGTAGTGGTCTGCACATGATCACGGTATACACACACGCACAGACGCATACACGAGCAAATATATACGAACGCTCACGCTTATACACAAACACACATTCTCAATCACCCACGCTGAAATATACACACGCAAATTCTGGCTCTTACACACACTCTCTCTCTCACTCATCCACTCACTCATTCACTCACTCACTCACTCAAGCTTATATATAAATATATATTTTTTTATACATTAGCGAACAAACATTAAGTCAAAACACTTATAGCCGCGCGTGCACACTTACATACAAACACTCACACACACCCATTCACACAAATACTTTTACGAGGAAAAAGTAATACAAACTCACATTCAAATACACATTCGAGAACAAACAGACACCATCACTACTACTACTACTACTACTACTACTACTACTACTACTACTACTACTACTACTAGTACTACTACTACTACTACTACTACTACAGTCGCAAATGCACAACGACGCACACCCAAACACACATATGATTAAATTCGCGCATTCCAGTAGTAGTATCCAAGATATCCAGAGGTTTGAGACTTGGGAGTTTAGGGTCACTTTTCACATCACAGTCGACACATTCTAATATCAGGAGTTAGGGGCTGAAACTTGGGCTTGGGGACAATGGCGGGGGATGATAAGACCTTGTGGTGAGCCTTTAATCCGATTGGCGGGCCTTCTGGCGAATTGACGGGCGTTCAACCCAATTCGTGTGTAATTGGACTCACGTATCAGTTGACCGACAACAGTCACGTGACTTGTGCTTGTTGTTTTGTCAGTCTGTTTACGAGTCCATCTATCAGTCTGTTTATGAGCTGGTCTGTCAATATGTTTGCGAGCTGGTTTGTCAGTCTGTCTTTCTTGTGTGGTCCTCAAATCTCAAGTCCTGCTCAGGAGCTGCGAGGCTGAAAAACGAAAAGGTCCAAGTTTAGTTTTAGTTTTAGTAGTAAGAGTTTTACGGCCCTTACTAATCAAACAAGTCATTTAAGTGCCGAGGATTAGAGATGTCTCTAGAGAGCAATATCTAAAGAAAAGAAAGAGGAGAGATATGAGAGGTGGATGTTTGATAGGGAAAAATGAGCAAACCACAGCAGATCGCCCGCAAGCCACCCAGGAAAAGGTACAGGTTCAAGATGTGATGTTAGGTTGAGGACGATATAATCTGGGTAATAATATAGTAACTGTTTTACGCCTCCATCTACACAATTTAGGTAATTGGGAGGCAGGCTACTTCTACCATGAATAACAGGGCCAACCCGCGCTGAATTGTATACAACATCCTAATTAGTTTGTTTGAATAAAAAGAAGTAGATAGATACAATAATGGTGTTTAGTTTGGTGCTGGGGAAAAAGACAGACAGACAGAAACAATAGAAGGAAAGGAAAGACGTATGACCTAACAGTAGGGCCTTCCAATCACCTATAACATCCTAGCAGGCAGATGGAGATATTTGATGAGAAAAAAACTTTCCCACCCCGGTTTCAAACTTATGTCGTTTGTGTGCATCGGGAAATAGCCTAACCATTACACCACATGCAATCTGGGAACGCCGGAGGTTAGAGCACGTAGTGATAATGTCTTCTACTTCTTTTTGAATCATCATCATCATCATCATCATCATCATCATCATCATCATCATCATCATCATCAGCTGCAGCTGAAGCAGCAGCCACAGCAGCTATAGTAATAGCAGGACATGTGGTGATGGCGATGGTGATGGTAGAACTAAATTTGGAATAGGCCGTCCAATTTAAAAAGAAAGAAGCAAACAAACAATTAAAAATAGTGTCTATGTTCCCTATGAGTTGGACATTGAGATTTTAAAATCAAAATGTAACTCCATTTATCTTTTCCTGTAATACATTTTTGGAAGTTGTAGCCACACATCTAAAGGCACTTCTCTCCAGAACGAAATGCCAATTTCTACCGTCCTAGCAGGCCCCAAAAATCCACGTGTTTACAGCACAATCCCACTTTCAAACAGTCAATAAGTAAATATGTGACTCTGTCTCATGGTCTCATAGTACAATTTTTACTGTATTATGGTATTTGCATCACAAGCAGGTCTCATAAATGCCGAAGATACGAAGCGTTGCTAGAGAGTAACATACAAGACACGGTTGAGAGATAAGGATGATAGATGTTTGATAAAAAAAGAACGAGCAAACCACACCAGAATATCAGCCAACCACACACTCACATGGTCTTGACCATCAATGATTCAATGATTCATTTATTATGTGCCTCTAAAATCTATTAAAGCAGCCCCCAGTGTATGCTATTGGGTCCGTATCGATTGTCACTCACTACAAAAATCCGTCTCACGGGAAGTTGAGTACTGTAATTTAGCTAAAAGTTCACACAATTTAAAAAAACAAAAAAAAACCCCATTGCTTAATATTCGTGATTGGATGCAAACAATTTGTTCTGACCCATAACATAGAATAAAATAACGTTCAGTGATAAAATTAGGGATAAATTGGTTCATTCAATGAAAATTTAACCCCAAAACGCATAATATAGCAACAGCAATAGCTGCAGTAACAACAGCAACAGCAACAGCAACAGCAACAGCAACAGCAACAGCAACAGCAACAGTAGTAATAGTAGTAGTAGTAGTAGTAGTAGTAGTAGTAGTAGTAGTAGTAGTAGTAGTA